CCCCATTCTCCAAAATACCAGCTACAAAAAATCCAGAAATGATTTTGGCATGGCCTATTATATCCACTTTACCAATTGATGATTGATTAATATTTCATTAAAGTACACGAGAATAAGCCCAAAGACAACTATTTAATCACACGTGATTACCACTAAAATAATCTTATAAAGCGCAACTATTATTAATTTATATTATTTGGTACAGAGCTCTTATTCATTTTCTATGTTCCACTCATAGTATAAATAACCCATTCAGAGTAGAGCCTTTCCATCATCTCACACAAACAAGTGCATAGAGAAGAGTTCTAAACACAACAAAAGCTTTAAAGTCTCAGTTTATATTTTCAGTGAAGAAGGAAAGATGTCAAACACAGCTGGTCAAGTCATTCGCTGCTGTTAATATTATATGTAGATATTAGTTGTTGCTAGCGTTGTTGCTAGCCTAGCTTAATATTATAGTAGATATTATATGTAGTTATTAGTTGTTGCTATGTAGATATTAGTTGTTGCTAGCCTAGCTTAATATTATAATAGATATTATATGTAGTTATTAGTTGTTGCTGGTTGTTGCACAGATAGATGCTATAGATGCTTTCTTTTCTTTTCGGTGGCTTCATCATTTTGTCTTGTAAAACATCTCCTATATAATGGAGGTTCCATTTGGTTGCAATACACATCAAAAATATAGAGCTAATATTTGCTCTCTCAATCTCTCTCAATTTCTTATATGGTATCAGAGCACAGGTTTTCTGCCTAGCCTCTTCTTCCAACATATTTTTTTTCTGCAGATTGCATTTCATCTGTATCCCTTTTTTTTTTCGTCCATCTCTGAAATACAGTTTTCACCACACCAAAGCCTTCGTCTCCTCCGGACGTCACACGCGCCATTGTGCTATTTTTCCCTCATGGATCGCCCGGATTCCTCTAATCACCCTATTTCCGTTATTCTTGACGGGACTAATTATGTCCTTTGGGCACAAGCCATGTCTGGCTTCCTCAAAGGCAAGAAACTTTGGCGTATCATTACTGGGGATGTGTGCAAACCAGTCCCAGCAACCACGGAATCCGCTACCACGGACTCTGCTGCCAAATATATCGACCGACTAGAAGATTGGGATAGTAAAAACTATCAGATCATCACCTGGCTTCGCAATACTTCTATTACATCCATCAGCCTTCAGTTTGGTAGGTTCCAACTTGAGTCTGCTTCCTCTCCAGCCTAGGCCATCTGGGATTTTTTGCAAGAACGTTATCAGACTACCGGTCTTGCTCACCAATATCAGCTTCTGAGTCATCTTCACCGTATGGATGTTCGGACGGGCTCAAAACGAGGAGTGAGAGCCATGAGAAACTGAACCAAGCGCTGTTGGTCACGGTAGGTAGTAAACAAGGCAGCATCCTCAGTATGAGGCCATGGAGGCTCAGAAAGAGCGAGTTGATCCCAAACATAATACATTTGGGAGAGGAAATCATTAATGGTCTGAGTGCTTTCTTGGCGCATGCGGTGAAGATGACTCAGAAGCTGATATTGGTGAGCAAGACCGGTAGTCTGATAACGTTCTTGCAAAAAATCCCAGATGGCCTTGGCTGGAGAGGAAGCAGACTCAAGTTGGAACCTACCAAACTGAAGGCTGATGGATGTAATAGAAGTATTGCGAAGCCAGGTGATGATCTGATAGTTTTTACTATCCCAATCTTCTAGTCGGTCGATATATTAGTTGTTGCTAGTTGTTGCACAGATAGATGCTATAGATGCTTTCTTTTCTTTTCGGTGGCTTCATCATTTTGTCTTGTAAAACATCTCCTATATAATGGAGGTTCCATTTGGTTGCAATACACATCAAAAATATAGAGCTAATATTTGCTCTCTCAATCTCTCTCAATTTCTTATAGCTGCAAAGGTTTGTATAATATCATCATCCCATTTAGGAGCTTTCAACTGATTTTGGAATCAATATTTTTTCGAAAATAGTTTTCAGAAACAGTTCGTGAAGTTCTACGAAAAACAAAAGCAAAGACAAAAAAAACAGACTCTTTCTACTTCTGAAAATGATTGGTTAACGAAGTATTTCTTCAATTTTTGGTGGCAGCTGCTGTGGCATGGGAAGCAGGGAAGCCACTGGTGATAGAAGAAGTGGAGGTGGCGCCACCGCAGAAGATGGAGGTTCGTGTGAAGATCCTCTATACCTCTCTCTGCCACACTGATGTTTACTTCTGGGAAGCCAAGGTATCCTCTATATCCTCATTAATTTCAATTAATTCAAGCCACCATGGTAACAACCAAATTGGTTCTTTCTTTTCAATCTTGCAGGGCCAAAACCCCGTCTTTCCTCGAATCCTCGGCCATGAGGCAGGAGGGTAAGTTGATTTCTTTCCAAGAAAATCTTAATTTCAATTAAATTGTTTGTTCTTGTTAATTTTTGAAGCCTATAATGAAATGGGTTCTCTGTTTGTGGATTGAAAATATGAATTTTGTTGATTTTGGTGGATTTGTAGGATTGTGGAGAGTGTAGGAGAGGGAGTTACTGATCTTGCACCGGGCAATCATGTCCTTCCAGTCTTTACAGGGGAATGCAAAGAATGTGCTCACAGTAAATCTGAAGAGAGCAACATGTGTGATCTCCTTAGGATCAACACAGACAGGGGAGTGATGATCCATGATCAAAAATCAAGATTCTCAATCAATGGCAAGCCAATTTTCCATTTTGTTGGAATGTCCACCTTCAGCGAGTACACGGTTGTCCATGTTGGTTGTGTCGCCAAGATTAACCCCCACGCTCCTCTCGACAAAGTTTGTGTTCTTAGTTGTGGAATCTCCACAGGTACAAAAAAGCAATGATAATCCAAGTTTAGTATCAATCCCTTTTGAGTTTTGGCTAATACCATCAATTAGTTTCATAAAACGAAAATATCAATGAACTTCTATGAAACGGTTTATTCAACCAATACGAATCCGTGTTATCAAAAGATTTCCTGCACTTGTTTCTGGAATGGAACAGTCTAGTCAATCACTTTGGTATCTTACTGAACCAAAACGGTGATATTACTCCTTTTCCTATTTAAAAAAAAATACCCATGGTCATCCAACAAGAAGGGTTTTGATTTTTTCAAATGCATGATTTGAAGACCTACTGATTCCAACAACTTATTGCAGAGTAAATCATTCAGACTTTCAATTCATATTGTTTTGCTGATGAACAAATTTTTTTTGTTTTTGTTTTTTTTTTTTTTTTTTTTTTTGTGATGCTCGTCTCTTATTTTATGTTATTTTTTTTGAGGGTGCCTCTGTTGTTGCAATCATTTATTTATTTTCTATTTTATGTTTTTGTTTTGTCTTTTGGAATCAGAAAGGAGAACTAAAAAATAAAAACTTGTGTATGTGATATGATTAGTAATGTGACTTTTGATTTGATTTGATTCATGATATGATTAGTAATATTCGACAAAGTTTTTTATTGGTTTTTTGGAACGACAAGAAGATATAATTTGTTAATATTGGTAAATTCTTTTTTTTCCTTCTTTGTTCCTTTTTCTTTTTTCTTTTTTCTTTTTTTTTTTCCAATGAAGATAAGATCTAACATAAATAGCAAATCTGGGTATAGAATAATAATCAATGTGGATTGATAAAATTTAATGTATATCGGTGCATCTAGAGTTTGAAAGCTCAAAAAATTCACATTTTTGTCTGTAACTCAATTCTTACCTAGATGTGTTGAATGAAATCTGTGGCTCCCTCCTACATCAATTGTTTCACAATGAATTTAACTTTTATATTTTTTCCATACACAGCGAAAAATTTTGGCTGCCGAAGCATCCTTGGAGTCGACATCGACGGAGGTAAGATTTTGAAGTATAATCTTAATTTCTTTTGTAACTAAAATTAAAATTGCTGCACCTGGGTCTATTCTTGATATAACATGATCACATGTTCAAAAAATTGTGAAATCATTTATGTTCATAAAACCAGTTCAAGAGGTACAGTTCTACACTTACTTGCACTTGTAAAACCTTCCCTTTCAAGTATTTGATCAAGTTTCTTCTTGACTTGCTCTTCAGGTGATTGCCGAGATGACCAATGGAGGAGTGGACAGAAGTGTTGAATGTACTGGAAACATTGAGGCCATGATCTCAGCATTTGAATGCGTCCATGATGTATGTTTCCCATACTTTCCATCACTTTCATTATCCCTTTATTCATCTTTCTCATTGTCAACCAAATGAAGCTAATTCTACGAGTCATTAGATAATTTTGGGATTTTCATGATATTAAAAAAAGACATTATGCGACAATCGTTTCGAATGTTGATAGATTACAATCTGCTAACAGGGCTAGGGTGTTGCGGTTCTTGTGGGAGTCCCCCACAAAGATGCAGTGTTCAAAACACACCCTGTGAATTTCCTAAATGGGAGGACACAGGGCACCTTCTTGGGAAACTACAAACCCCAGTCTGACATTCCCTCTGTTGTCGAAAAATACATGAACAAGGTGAGTTTCTGAATCCCACTTCGATGTTCATAGCACATATGAAAAGTTCAAAATGTGAAACTCTTAGTCGCCTAAACTCCCGACTTTGTAGGAACTTGAACTGGAGAAGTTCATCACTCATCAAGTCCCATTCTCAGAGATCTACAAGGCCTTCGAGTACATGCTAAAACAGGAACGCATTCGATGCATCATCCGAATAGAGGAATAGAAGGACACAAATCCACAGTATCCGATGCAGTGGACTGTGCATTGACCTTTTGTGAAATGTTAATAAAAGTTTTTGTCTTGGGAGTATTTTGTTAATATATCTGTTAATAAAAGTTTTTGTCCTGAAATGTTAATAAAAGTTCTTTGTATTATGGTCAGGCCTTAACATATTACAGAGTTACGAGCTCATTGTGTCTATTTTTTATTGTCTTTACACTCTTTACTGACATGCTCAACATTATGATGGTCTCAACTCAACCCAAGAAGCCTTTGTTCGCATTGTTTAGAGAGAGAGAGAGAGAGTACAGAGTATAATCATTCAAAAACTTGTAATCAAGGAAACTAAGGAACTGTAATTTGCAACTGAAAATATGTGCCCTAACTTTTATGTACACCTAGTTGTGCTGCGCCAGTTTGGCCAAAATGTTCATGTCTAATATCTTAACATCAAGAGTGTCATCTACTTTAACAATACCATCACTCCCATCAACACCGATCAGCTTTCCAGTAGACCCTCGCTGTGCGCCACCCATGATCTTAACTTTGTCCGACTTCCTTGGTACCACTACATCAATTTCGCTAGGCAGGGCGGTTACAATTTCACCATTGCCACTTGATCCAAGGGCTATCCTACACGAACCATCCTGAAACACAAAAAGCCATTGTCAGCAAGCTACCTACCTATGAGAATAATTCAAATATATATTTGGTATCAATTTACAGAAACTGCATTCCATCACCAAAAAAAATGGAAAAATATAAACAAAAACCATATGTATTTGTCAGTGTTCTGAAGAACAAATAATTTCAGAAACTAAAAGAAGCGTCTGCATTTTCAGGAAGTAGAGTTCATTCCAAACCTTTTCAAACATTTTTTCATTATTTTCATTTTCAGTAATTATGTACCAAAAACGAAATGATGAAAAAACACTTGACAAAGTCCTCCGTATGATATAAATTCAATCAAATGTGCAATTTCTGATATACTCAAATCATTACAATATGTAAAATGTGTTAAAACTACACCTCCACCTACTCCACCTACTCCACTACACCTACTCCACCTACTCTCCACCCACATCTCCTATATAATGTACATACAATATATCAATCAATAATACAATTCTCTATTTTTTTTTTTATACATTGAATTTTAACATGGTATCAGAGCAGGTTTAGAACCTAGTATTTTCGCTTCACCGGCGGGCGGCAACCTCACCTTAGCCGTCCGCCGGACCTCAATCTATTCCGCTTATTTTCTACACATACCTTCCCATCATTGCCCACATCCTCTCTCCCTCGGTTTTGAGATAAAACACACATAGGGATACACGGAGATGAATGGGTGGTTCTGTATCACAATCTCACCAAGGTCTATTCCCATCCTCTGAAGGAGAGACAGAGAGGGCACGCTTGGGCCACAGCACCACATTCTGAACATAGACAAAGGTGACGACACGGCAACACAACCACTCGCCGCCGACAAACCTTGCAACTCGGTCCACTCGTCTCCACCACTCGGTCCGGGTCAATGTACGCCGACTCGGCGTCCTCCGCCTCTCCTCCGCCGGAGCATCCCCTCTCCTCTCCATCGCCGATCTCTCTTCAGAGATTTCACACCAGGGGCTCGTCTAAGAATTTCTGCCTGCTCAGGAGAAATCTGACTTGCAAAGCCATTAATAAGATGTCGATAGCTGTAGAGTTTCTTGTAGGTCCCACGACCAAACAGACCCAGTGTATGAAGCTCACTCTTTTATTCACATTCTCCCCCATTTGACTAACAGCTTCAGCCACGGTGATCTCTTCTCCGCCGTCTTCTTCGACCCTCGTAACCAACTCCAAATCACAAAGATCTCGCGAGGATGTTTCGAGCGATAATAGTGATAATTCAAGGGCTTCTTCGGATAAAGTTGCACCCAGATGGACTGAGATTTATTGAAACGCTTGTCGGACCCATAAAGTAGCTTGTCACGGCTCATAGATAAGCTTCATTTTGATGACCCCAATGTCTATTAGGCTAATCTTTCTCTCTCTCTCTCTCTCTCTCTATTTTTTCTTTCCCAGAGATGCTCCATTTTTTTTTTATCTCTTTCTTTCCCAGAGAAGGATGGGCACTGTTCTCCTGAGCTAAAATGTTCATGTTACTGGCTTTATCACCACTTTCAACAGAATCAGCCTTCACAAAACCAACAATCTTGACCCACTTTCTGCCTTTCTGACAAATCGACCCACTATCTGCCTTTTTTGCGCACCAGCACATGATTTTTGTCGTGTATTAGTGCTTGAGCAGCTGTAAAGTTTATTGGTAAACGTGTGTATAGTGCAGAGGTGGGACGTGTTTTGTGATGAGGTATGTCACTGATATTATATATATATTTATGTATATTCGAAAAAAAAATAAAATAAAATAAAATAAAATAAAAAATAAAACAAATAAAACAAATAAATAAATAAAAAAAAAAATAAATAAAAACAGATTTTATTTTGTTACAAAAACAAAATTAAAATCTGATTTAATAAACAAATAAAACAAAAAAATAAATTAAACAACTTACTTATTTAATTTCTTCAAATAAATATCTAATCAAGTCCAATGTTTGACATTGTATCCTTAAGACAGATTCGTCCTCTCCTCGGTGCTTTCAAAATATGGACGTCTATCTCCCAGGATGAAATGATCTATCATCCTTATACATGCGCTGGAGCAGAGCCAGTTGGGCATTTAACTGCTGCACCTCATTTGTCCTACTCTGAAGCCGGTGCGACAAGTTTGTGACTGCCGTCATCGTCTCCACACATGACTTCAATGTATACTGATTGGCCTCAATATCTGATTGTGCTGCCATTCTTTGCTCCACAGACCGCATAGGAAAGGTCAACGGAGCAAACTCAGGGGCGTTTGGTTAAGGTTCAAGGGCAACCGCACCGGTTATCTCTCTTGTGGACTCGTTGAGGTCGGGAAAGAGAGTGAGCAGACCACGGGAAGAAGAGGCCATATTCTGGGTAGCTGAACGGGAAGAAGAGGCCATGTTATGGGTTGCTGAGTGTTTCAGATGTTACAGAGTGTTTCAGGGTTTACAGCTCTTAGAGACAAGCTCTCAGAGAACGAAGAGGTTTCAACTGGTTTGTTCTGCTTCCAAGCCTCAGGCCTCGTTTTGGTTTATATCGACAATGCCGAAGAGGACGCCACGACACTCTGTCAGTCACGTGCATCGCCGCGTGTCCGGCGCCCCTTTTGATGGCTCGACGCTTTCTGTCGGGCACGTCTTTTGATGAAGTGGGCGCACCTTTTGAGGGCGCGACTTTTGAGGGCTCGATATATATATCCATGTATATATATTTGGGCAGCCTATATACACCATCCTACAGTGTATTTTACAGCGGTCCGGCATGACCCCATAAAACTGTCCCGACATTGATTCCGGTTAGCTTCTACATCGGTCCGGTGTGACCTCGTCAACTGTCCAGACATTATCTCCTCCAACGGTCTGACACGCCACTACAGTGTCTCCTATCCATTTTTTTTTTTTTTTTTTTTTTATTTGTCAGATTATTTTCCTGTTTTGTTACTCTCTCCAAACTCAAGTTGGTTAGTTCCTATCCCCCTTGAGTTTGAGGGGGGCTGTTAAAACTACACCTACACCTACTCCACCTACTCCACCTACTCCACTACACCTACACCTACTCCACCTACTCTCCACCCACATCTCCTATATAATGTACATACAATATATCAATCAATAATACAATTCTCTATTTCTTTTTTTATACATTGAATTTTAACAAAATGTACCAACATAAGCTCCTCTTTTTCCAAGAATCTAGTTTCCCTCTGAGAATATTCAATCTTAAATGTGTGGCACTTTTATTATGTTGAATAACCAAACCAAGGCTACCGTATATTTCCAATTCCCAAAAATTCGACTGAGTGAGGCCCCCAAACCATATATTTATTTTTAAGTTATGGTAAGAAAGAAAAATCAAAGAATGCCATTTCTGGACAAACATACCGGGAGAACCTCTCGAACAACTCCAGTGGCAATGTCTTCCCCAAACCTGCGTAAATTGACCAATATGTCTGGCAGTACCCAAAGACCTTCATTGTCCCCACCTGTCAAATGAAAAATGTTATCCTCCATAGTTGCTGAATTTGAAACTGAGCACACTCAATGACCAACTCAAGTGAGAACTACATACAAAGAATCTTACACAAAAACCAACACCAAGGTGCCAGAATTAGAAAACCTACTTACTAATAAACATTTAATAATCATTTGGATTTCTCACGGAAACAAAATCATCCAGTGCATTTTTTTTTTTTTTTGCAATGCCATTCTCCAATTTATTTCCAAGATGTTTGATAGGATATATGTATCTACTCTTATGTACTTTTCCCAAGGAGCATCCACTCCCTCACTTGATACGAGGTCAGTTCTTAAATTCGAAGAACAGGAAGACTTGCAAATCCTTTTACTCATTATTAGGTGGCTCTTTACTATCAAGTTTATTTACCTTGACCATAATTTTACAATGCCACTGCAAAGCATATCAACCAATATCGCTGACACTAAGATCTACTATAGATCACTGATACAGTGATTGTAATGTTAATGGTTTGTGCTTTCCAACACATCAAACAGCATGGAAAGATCATAATTCCATGACACATTGAAAAATAGAAAGAAAGAAAAAAGTATACCATTTCTTTAGCAACCATTTCTTTAATTAATTAACAAGTACTATAAATAACTAAAAGTAAAACATCTACGACATCAACTCTCATGTCTAGAAGGGAAAACAGACCTACAACAGGAGACATAATATCCAAACCACCACTTCCTGGTGTCATTGGTTGTCCTCCAGGAGTGCCCGGAAGATATGAAGCTGAACTTGGTGTCATTGGCTGTTCACCAGGAGTAGACGGCAAGTAAGGGCTTGGAGCATTTGCTGCACAAACACAGGAATGAATAAGTAACAATTACAGTAAGGCTTTTTAAAGGGAACTGTTCATTTGATTACCATAGGAATGACTGCTATCTCTAGGTGTTCCAGCCTCGCTCGGAGTGTTAGCCCAACCAGAACCAGGAGTAGGTGCTTCATATATCCTTGAACGAGGAGTTCCAGGCTGAACAATGATAACAATAAATTGAACACTCATACGGAAAAATATACATATTCCCATTTATTTGAATACTGGCATCTAATTGGGCAAGATTGCTGACCTGATACTGCGGACTTGCCCCCCAGGAAGCAGGGTTTGCATCTTCCCAATTATCCCTAATTCATTCCAAGGAGTGATCATCAGTATGAAAGAAAAGGAAAGGGAAAGAAAAAAAAAATAATAAAAAAATAAAGAAAAAGAGAGAAGGACACTATAGAAAAACACCTCTCCTCAAGAACAAGTGAAGCAAGTATGCATTCAAGAAACCACACAACTAGAAATTAAAACAACCTATATATATGTTCCCCAAATACAAAGCAACACAAGAAAGTCTACATCCACAATTCTCTCTTCAACAATCAAAGATCTACCAACTGTATGTACACAGGATGAATGTGTAAATATTTAAGCACTTACACATGAAGCCAGTAAAGCAAGAAACATGACACCTTAAATGTATGGGAGGACTATATAGATTTAATTATACCATATTGTTGTGCGTCACCTATACATAATTCAGAGTTCAAACCTTCTTCACCAACTAGTATTTTCAGTAAAAAAATACTGCACATGAAAACACATAAAATTCAGCAATAACCTTGGTGGACTCATTGGTGTATATGGATTCCATGCTTTGTCACGCATAGGTGTCCTCATGCCATCATGAATAGGTGTTGCTGTTGCAAAGTTGAAGAGAGAAACAAATCAAATAATAAGTTAAACAAGTCCTAAGAAACATAATTCCACGATAAAATAGATCTAAAATAGACCTCCGGGATCTCTCATAGGAGTCATATATGGATGTAATGGAGTTCGTGATGGATGCATGGGAGTCTGACTTCCCAAACCATATCGAGGTATTTCACTGCTTAAAATAAAATTTTAAAAAATGAGAAAAAAATAGTTAGTCTAAATCTAAGTTACTTAAATTGGACAGAAGCAGTATCATAATCAGACAGAAGCAGAATCGTAAATACCGATATGGAGTTGAAACTGTCATGTTATCAGAAATATGATGGCGATCAACTGCTTCAAACAGCAGGAGTTAGAAACCACACAGAAAACTGAATAATCAAGGAGACAGGGAAAAAAATTATAAAAAAAAAAATCCCTCAAACTAAAGGAAACTTGCCTGTAACAACTTTCATCTGGGACTCCAACTCTACCCTGACTGAAAAACCTTTAACATCTACAACACGCCCACGATATCCCTTGAAAGGACCCTGACGAACTTTTACAGTACTACCAACCAAAGAATCATGTCCCCTACCACCTCTATGCCTTCCTCCAGCTATAACAAGGTAAGAGTAGGCAATGCTATCAGAATTCCTTCTTGTGAATGAAATCATAAAGAACAAGCAAAAGAGTTGAGAAATAATGCAAGGAGAGAGAGGCAAAGAAAAAACCAAAAACAATTAATAAAATTATCAAACACAGCACTCAGCATATTATTTAAATCACCAACTTACAGCCCATTGGAGGGCCTCTAGGCAATCTCCCTGGAGATTGAAGAACAAGAGTTGGAGTTCTAAGCTGTGCAAAACTTGAAACCTGTGAATCAGCCTACAGAAGAGATAGAATAGCAAGCTCAATTATAACAGAGACAAGAATTAGCGAACAAATCGCGAAACCTAAAAAGAAAGTATTTTAGTCCGCACAAAAATAAAATAAAATGCATACATTTCTATTGTTATTGGCACGTGATCCACCAACCACCTTGCAAGCCTGGGATTTAGCACAAAGGAAACCCGCATGCTCAACGTGATGACGATCGTAAATAAATAGAACTCCTCTGAAAATATGTTCAACAGAACCTTGTTTTCCCTGAATAGGATAGAAGCAGTGACATTGTAATCAAACAATCTATTTAACCAAAAATTAGAATGAAGTAAGTGGTTCTCACTTTGCATGGACCTTCAAGAATCCTAACGACATCTTTCACTGATATTGTGTTCTTGGACAGATCTTGGGCATAAGTTTTCCTCTCAAGCTTACATTTAATGTCTCTTAATCTGACAAGTGCAACCTCTGCTCTGTCTGGGACTCCCTTAAGAACCTGCAAAATAAGACGTACACAGAAGTCCTTAAGAACCTGAGAAACAAGTGATATACAAACTTCTCTGAGGTAGTCAACATGATTACTTCACCTGGAGAGCTTCACTTTGTAGACGTATGATTACCCCAAAACTCATATTGCTGCCCAAAAATAAAAATCACATATAAGATTTAACTAATAGCAAAAACTAGAGATTTGGGGAAGAACAGCTTACTCCAGCATTACAAGATCATGAAGCTCATAATCCCCGATTCTGGTAATACCAGAAGTTACCTCAGAGCTCTCCGCAACATTGTCAGCAAATACACGTATCTGAAACCAGATAACACATTGGCATAACTTGTCCATGAAAAGAAAAATAAAAAATAAAAAATCTCAAAGGTCAAAGGTCAAAGATCAATAGCTTACATGTTCATTGGTCGTATCAGACAATATGATTACTACATGCCCCTCGACCTTTATAACCATACCAGTTGCACCTTCTGATGCACCTAAAACAACCTTCACATGATTCCCCGGTTCAAAGTACTTGCAAAGCTCTTTTTCATTTACAGCAAGAGTTTTCTGTAAATAATAAATAAACAAATTGGCCAATATGATGCAAGAGAACCGTGGATACTTATCAGGAATAATCATTTAAAAAAATAAAATAAATAACAATTCATTCATGTTTTACCGGAAGGCCCTCTGCATTTGGCCTGATATGGACATTGTCTTCCTCAACTTTTTCAACCCATCCTTTCAAATTTTTGAGATCTCCCTTGACAACAATAACTTGGTCACCCTTCATAAAATGGCCTTTCTTTCTGTTTGCAAACAAAGTTGACAAACTAGCCATATCTCCATCCCCATTCTCATCAGGTTGCCGAAATTTCTCTAGTTCATCAAAAGTTGGTTGTATATTCTGTGTGCTGATTGATTTCATGGATGCATTTTTATATAAGAAACCATCCTTGAACATCATTGCATCTATTTTCTCAAAGTAATCACCAGTCATAGGGTCTCGTCTACGTTCCACACGTATATGCATTTCTCTGAAGATAGAACATAAAACAATACATCAGCAAAGTTGCAGCGTACAAACATTAAGTACCATCTGTGTTGCAATTAGAGATGATAAAAGAAAGGCTACCTAGCTTCGTCAACATTCAAAAAACGCTGAGGAGGAATAAATGCCTTCTTCTTAGGAACTTCCCTACCTTCCTGAAACAGAATAATTACCCTTGTAAGAACAGGTACTAACAAACAGATCCATTGTATTCACTGTCCGAACCATAGTGATCCAAAATACTGATCAGGAAGCATTTTTATCTGTCTAATTGAAATACTTCTGTTTATTCAGTCTAAAAAAGAATAATTACATTATTTATTGATCAAAACACAAATCCCGTGGAAGGGCATGCTGTTCAACCTTTCCATAGCAAGAATTTAATTAACAAGTTATATATATGTATACCGATTTATTTGCGAGGGCCTGTAAGTCTAAGCGTGGGATAAGTTTCACTGTAACTCTCTGCCGCACATTATCCACATCCACAACCTATAAACATAGAAGCTCAAAGGTTAAATAAAAAAAGAACCACAAAATAGTACTGTGAAGGAAGGGGAAAAAAAGGAAAATGGAAAATTTTCACACTTTTGCAAGGTCCCCTTTGTACATTCCAATCTTCATTCTGACCCAGGTATCCCTGGAAAGATCAATTGCTTTGCTTTCTACAGAAAGGACATCAGTCATTTCTTTGATCGGAACAAGTGTTATTTTAGTATTTGTATATATTATGCGCAGACCGCTGCAAGCCTGGAGCAGAACAAAAATGGCAATAAGATCAATTTCCAATCACCACAAAATCCATGTAACCTTTGTTGTGGTACTCCTCAGTTAAGCAACAAAAAAATATGAAATCCACAACTACATACCTCCTTCACATGGGCTTCTTTGTCTGCCTCAACATATATATAGTTTTTGAGATGATCAAGAGCTATGGCTGACCTGATTTGCAACCCAGATCTTTTATCAAGTGACTTCTGCATTAGGCAAACAGCTGCCTCTCTCTCACGACCAATCTAGAGTGAAAGCAGACATAGAATTAAGAAACAAGACTACACAGATATCATGTAGCCTGTAATAATGAATAGCGCAAGCATCAATCATACCGCGCATTTCACCATCCACAACTTTGGATCCCTGACAGAGGGCAAAAGAGCTTGCTGTTCTACATCTGTAGTCTCCTCATCATATTCTTCATGACTTGATCTGGCATATCTTGCCTGAATACGTCTCTCAAGAGCTTCAACATCTTCTTGGTCATCCTCCCGTGGCAGCAATGGACGACGATGCATCCTTCTACCATCATCTTCATCCGGTAGCTCAGCTCCACTGTCTACTATGAAGCCTGTATGTACAGGTGCTCAACTGGTCAGCAAAGATAATGCAGGGCACAAATAAATCAGCCCAAAAAAGATACATACAGATCAATCAAAGACCATGAATGACTCTTAAGCGACATTAACCAAACAACAAGAGCACATGGAATAATTTCACAATAGCAAGAAGCTCAACTTTGTTTCATTCAAAAGCAAATTAATGAAGTCATTAAGGGGAATCACAGATCTCAGAAAGCATGTGATGGAAAAGCTCAAGCTCCCATTAAATCGACAATAACGTATAGGGAGTTTAAGACTGCGTCTTACCATATTATTCCAGACACATCATCAATAAAAATTGTGATTAGGTTGAAATAGAGAATACCAAAATTTAAAGAGAAATTGAATGCTTTAGGTTAATGGTCTCCAGAACAAGTAGAAGTAGAAGAAGAAAGAAGACCAAATTGTCATTGAAAGTGCAGGATGCTGTTGAGCTCTCAGACTGTTGAAACTTGGAATTGGAAGACTTTCCTACAGGCTGTACAAATAAAATACTAAGCCACACGACTCTGAATGCCTACCCATCTCATATATCTTTCCCCACCGCATCCACCACGTCTATTTTGGTTGGCCTAGATTCTCAAATCAAATACTATGTCCCACAATGTTAGTACCTTTTGGAAGTTTCAATTTTTTAAGGGAACATGTAATTAATGCATTTAAATTGAAATCAAAAGGCAATAGTTCCCAAATTGTCCCTTAATTCCCACTCTTAAATTTATTTGTAATATAGCTTTGGAAAATTGAAAAAATTTATGCTTTGAGTTTTCAAAGAAGATTAACATTTTGAGACATCCCAAATTGGGGGAGGGAAAAAAAAAGGACTTTACAGTGTGGGGCAGACACAGTATAAGTATGGTCCTTAATGACGTATAGCAAACCAAACAATGTGCCTGGTCTATAATTGACAGGGTATTAACTACAAGGTGAAAACGAGATACATTGAAAACAAAGGATCTCGGTTGCAAAGAATCATGTGCCCTCACTTTTGGGAGATCCACTGCACAAGTAACTAAGCCAAGACTGCAAAAAGATACATCCTCCTGCTAACCTCTCACAATGTGTCAAACAGATTGGCAGACGTTAATACTGCTGGTGTGATTATCTACTAACCAGTAACCACACCTATTTTATTCCTTCGTTGCAACCCAGTGAGGGCCGACCCCTACCCACCCAAACTTTGGCCATGATTACGGGGTTAACCTTTTGATAACTTGGCTAGATAAAGGTTGTAAGAAGTCAACCTACCGTTGGCAAAGTAATGCTTAAGTGATATCAAACCAACTTTTTGAACTCACATTTTGCAGAGCACACCATCAAACACTATGAAAACCCATGCCTTTGTGTTTGCCAAAACTTGGAGGATCAGAAATTGACAAATACCTATCCATGGGTGCTCCTTAATATATGAATGTGAAGGAATGGTTAATAGACATGTCCGCAATCAACCCATGAATTTGGTGTCTATGGAAAGTATGGAATGAAAAGAATGGAGGACCACATAAAGCACCGTCACCAACTCACTGCTACCTAGTTAGGGCCAAACCTGACCCACCCAAACTTTGGGCTTGCACACAAGGTTAAACTTTTGATAACTTGGGTTGGATGAAGGGATTAAGAAGTCAACCTATACTTGGCAGAGGCATGCTTAAGTTTCAAGATGTCAAACCAAGTTTTTTGAACTTACATTTTGCAGAACACAACATCAGGCTCTATGATAATCCATGCCATTGTGCTCACAAAAAATTGGAGAATGACAATTGGCTATGCACAAAACAGGTGCTTTTATATGAATGTGAGTACGTGATTAGTAGCACATATGTACAATCAAACCACGAATTTGGTGTAAGTGAGAAGTATGGAGGACGACATACTGCACTGATGAGCTTTACAAAATCTGAGTTTCACAAAAAGTTATTGAGGGAGTCCAAGGATAAGAATTTATACACCAGATTAAATAAGTCTTTCCCCAGTATTTTATTATATTCTATAGTGACAATACAAATTGCAAGACTTTTATACTCCAGTGCAAGATAATGAGGTCGACTCTTTCCCCCTTTTCCATTCTCAATCACAACAACCGGTCGTGTGACCCAACTTTAGAACTTCAACTAAAACTTCGACCAAGAACATCTTTATTGCTCTGCTCCTGCTTCTTCACATGATAAAGTTTTCAAATCTAGTATTGCAAGTTTGCAACATAGCAGATTATTATTACAACAGTCATAACCAAACCCAGAGATCACTGCTAAATTGCTACTAGAGCATATTTAACGAGAGAGCCTCCAAAGCTCCTTCCACCACTCATGATCATTGTTGGAGGGGCTGACACCCACATTCAATTAATTTTCGAACAAGCAACTAAATGAACATAGAGCCTTGCATAACCAACATTTTAACCACCAAACAAGGAAAATCCAACCTAACATCTATACTTTTACAACCTGTCCCGAAACTTCTTCCTCATGCATCCATGTTTCAAATTTGTAAATATAATTTGTCCAACCTACCAAGCTAAATATCACCCTTTGGATGCCAAAATTGACACATAAATCGCATCAACATGGAAGTGGATGTTATTACAAGCAATTTGTCTATGAAGGCATTGTGTTAAACACTGAATTCAAACTACCACATATGCATTTCAACAAGTTGAATTAATACATTGGTACTTCCAAATCTCATTTCCTGGTTCAACTGTAACCTTATCACAGAGAAGAAAAAAAAGCTAATGACAGAAAGAAAAATATGGGAACCAGGTGAGATTGACATGAGAAAAAAGGGTGTTGTTAACTGCTTATTTCACTTTGTGAAAATCTACAAGCTCATCCCCTAACTAATGTTCATAAAAAGTAGAGCAAGAATGATTTCAGGACTTCATAAATTTGGTGTACACATGAGAAAACACAAGGACTCCAGCTAGCAAAATAGCATGAATATAAAACACAAGTGTTTTCATGAACTTCATTCCAGCAACCTAATCCCAAGAAAACTCACCTTTGAGTACTTGTTTTCCACATAATGCTTATTATTAACATAAGCTAATGTTTGGTTTACTCGAATGCAGGTAGAATGGAAAGAAACGATCATTCTTTACCCTCCATATGAAATGACCGTATTGTGTAATGATGATTCAATTTGAAATGAATTTTTCATCATTTTTAATGAACCAAACTTGAGATTGGACATTAACATGGATTAATCATTCAATTCCACCATCATTCTGGCAAACCAAACACTACACAAATTTCATGAGACTAGAAAAGATCACTCATCAAAATCAAATGCAAGAACAATTATCCTGGATAACCCAACATTGTCTGAACTAATATACTACATAAAGTTCATTTTTTTTTCCCCCAAAATTGTTAATCCCAGCCATACATGATCAAGTACTCAACTAATTCAACAACCCTCGTCCAAAATTTCAATGCAGTGGCACCAATATCAACACACAAAACTAAAAAATCACGAATCAATCAACTCGATGCAAACAAATAAAATATAAATATAGAGAAAATTAATTAATCAAAAAAAAAAAAAAAAAACACTAACCGTCTTCGCCATCTTCGTCCTCCTCTTCATCGCCGCTAGCCACCCCTGCAATGTCGTCAATGAATTCAGCACCGGACCGCCTCTTCGCGCGGCGACCACCACCGGCACGACCACCACGGCCACCGCCATCTAAATAGTCCTCATCGTCGTCATCTTCGTCGTCGTCCTCCTCCTCATCGTCGTCCTCCTCCGCAACGTCGTCGATGAACTGTGATCTCCGCCGCTTGTTACTAGCCCTACCGGCTCCTCCATCATCACCCTCATCATAAAGTGGCTCGTCTTCGTCTTCATCTTCCTCTGGCTCAAGTTCGTCATCGTCATCGTCATCGTACTCGTCTCGTCGCCTGTGAGACATGGTGGTGAAATTGCTCCGATATGGAGAGTCTGTTTTACGTTTCAAAAGTTATCGATATATATATATATAGCCCTAGTGTTGGGTTTTGAGGAGGTTACAGCGGTGGACTGAGAACAGTCTTGTTCGTCGACCGATTTGGATACTTTTCATTTTGCTTCCGGTTTGATGAAAATAAAAGGGTTTTTAAGGTAATTTTATAAGATAAAAGATGTAAAATATTTTTATAATAATTGAGAATATTTTAAAAATTTTATAGAAAAAATTTCACTTAGAGAAGTTTGTGTTTAAAGAAATTTTGATTTGATTAGAGAAATTTTGGTCTTAATACAGATAAATTTTAATTTTTATGTAAAAATTTTATCAATAGAGATCTTCATGAATAAAAAAATATATTTTGAATCTCTTTTATTATACAAAGTTAAAAGGAGATGTTTACTAATTTTTTCAAAAAAAAATATATTATCATTTTTTAAAAAAATTAAGTGAATTTAATAATTATATCAGCTTGTTTAGTTTTTATTTTCAAGATTCACTTTTCAGAAAATTAAAAAAAAAATTTCTTTTTCATATTTTATATTTTCACTGATTTTTTTTAATATTCTAATTAATTTTTTTAATTTTTAAATACACTTAACATAAATACACTAAAAAATTATAATACTTGTGAAAACTTTTTTTAAAAAATTCACTAAATATCAAAAATATAATTAAAAAAATATGAGAATTCAATACATTTTTCATTTTCTTGTGTATTTATTAACTTTTTATAAATATTTTACTTTTTAGAAACATTTAAATAAGATGCATCTAAAAAAAAATTAAAAATTGCTTAAAATTTTAAAAATATTCACTAAAAATAAAAAATATATGAAAAATAAAAGACACAAATTCAAGAAAATTGAATTCCGAAAATTAAAACCAAACAGACTGATATTTTTTATTTTTTTATTTTTTTAAAAAAAGTAAATAATAAATATATTTTAAATACAAATTATTTATTTTTTTAAGATAAATATAATAAAATAAAATCATTATAATTATTCGATTGATCATTTTTTTTTTCTAAATGATATATATTGAGAATAGTATAAAATAAATTATTAAAATTATTAAAATTACTTTAAAAAAAAAACTTAACCCGTTTATTTTATTATATTTTTTATAAATGGTGGAAGTGAAATTTGATTTGCAGTACCGACCTCAAGCGAGAAACTATAGAGAGCGGGCTAAGTAGACATTCGACTAAGGCCTTGTTTGGCAACTTTAGTTTTAGTCAAAAAGTTAAAAATTATTATAGGTTATCATATTATTTTTTTTATTTTTTTGTATATCTTTTCGTAAAAAGTCAAAAAGTCACAAAAATATAATGTTGTTAAATGAGGTCAAGTCGCATTTGGTATTGACTTTTTTAGTTAACTTTTTTTGAGTTTTGATCTTTTTAGCTTGGAATTAAAAATTTGTTTAGTTTGACTTTTTTTGCTTTTGTAAGAAAAAAAATAAAATGATTATAGTTTGAATGTGACATTTTGTCTTATTGATTTATTTAACCTATTTTATTTTTTATGTTTTTTTAGTCCAACTAAGACTATGTTTGACATATTAGTTTGGAGTTATTTTAGTTACAAAAAGATAAAATAAATTAAAAAGTTAATAAAATAAAATATCATATTTTTTTTCATAAAAATTAAAAAAAATAAAAATATTTATCATAAATAAAACTTTTTAACTTTAAATTAAAATAATTAAAAAATTAAAAATCAACCCACATCACAAACTAAAGTTAAGGTGACCCAACGAAGGCTAATCTAACTTGATTGCTTTACGTGTGCAAAAAATTTTTTTTTTTTTTTTTTTTTTTTTAATTTCAAAAGAGGGGTCTATCTCAATTTTAAAAGGACTTTTTTTTTCAACTTTTTAAGTCAATATTCTGTATCAAATTACGAATAATTAAAATATATTTGTCACTTTATGCTAATTTTTCTTACACCACTTATGCATCTCCCCACAGTCTTCCTTTTTCTATTTTTTTTAGCGTAAATTCACCCCTTTGAAGTTTAAAAACAATAATTAATCTGATATTTTTAATATAATTATATTAATTTTTATTTAAGTAAAGTTAAAATAATCAAAATTAATGTAAATGATTAGTAAAAACTAAAATAAAAATATGTATATATATATTAGTAAAAAAGACATACAAACATTATTTTTATTTTTTTTGTTCATATAACTAACAAATTATTAATAAAAATGATCAAGTTGTTATGCGAATTAAAAACTCAAGGAAGACAAGTATAATTATAATTAAAATGTAAGACTAATTGTATTTTAAAAATAAAAAAAATAAAAATAAAAAATAAAAAGAGAAGTGAGGTTAGTTACCTTTTTTATTATAATTTTGTCCTGATTAAAAATTACCAAAAAATCTTCAAACCTAAAACAAACAAATCCTAATTTCTCATTTCACCTATTGCTCACAACCATTTCACCTATTGCTCACAACCATCTTCATTAGCTACCACCGTTGCCACTACGGTTGCCACCAAAAATCATCAACACTTCTAGCCACCTCCAAAACCTCATCGCTCCCCCTATTGCTGCCACCAACATCAAAACCTCTCCTAGGATTCTGTGTAGCACGCCATCCTCTTCCCGTCACTCCTTCCCTAGACCTCCCCTCTCATTTTCATCTGTAACTTTCTTTTTTGACTTTTATATCTATTTGTAATGCTCTCAAAAATAAAAGCCTCAAGAAAGAACTTTGTTGATTTTTTTGCTTAAGATACCCTTACGTTTGTTTTTTTTTTTTTTAAACATAAAAAAGGAAGCTCCACAGGACATCATAGCTTCCGCAGGCCCTTGTGTTGTTGCATGCATAATTGGTCTCCAGTGCTGGTGAATGAGGTGTTGATAAGGACCAGAAGCCCCATCTTGTTAAAAAAAAAAACTTCAATATAACAGTGATATCATGTCATCGATAACACCATCCAATCATATCATATCGTTTATCCTCTATATATGTGACAAGGCAGTTGTACCTACAAAACGAGATTGACCCTTCACATCATGTAACTTCATCGTGTATTGGTGATATTACGTAATTGATATCACTGTAACACTAAAATTTTACTCACCAACTTGGCTATAATTTTATAATTTTATTAAGGACTACTATGTAATACCTGTTTTATATGAATGAATATTTAGCAAGATATTATTTAGTTTCGTCTATCTTTTAATAATTGTCTTTAAACAAGGCCACCGATTATAAATATCTATATAGATAGTAATATGAAATGACAATAAAAAATGAATAATATATAATGTTTTTCTATTTCATTAGATTAAGTTACTGTTAGGTAGGGCTGCAAACGAACCGAATCGAACAGAGCTAAGCTAAGCTTTGCTAAGCTCGAGCTCGGCTTGTTTACTTATTGAGCTTGTTTATTGAGCTCAAGTTCGGCTCAATAAGAAACTAGGCTCGAGCTCGGCTCGACTCGTTAACATTAATAGAACTCAAGCTTAGCTCGACTCGGCTTGATAATTTTTTTTTTAATATTATTTATATTATTTAAATAAAAAATATTGTTTATATTATTTAATATATAAATAATATATTAAACAAAAGAATTATAGTACTATTAAATAAGAAATTTTATCTATTGTTTTATGTATTAATAAATTTCAAGATGATATTTTAAACCAAAAATTTTTATTACGTGTTAATTGTAAAAGTGCTAAATATGTTTTAGAAAAAGATGTTCAAAATATTGCTAGTAAACATATTTTTGCCCGATGGCAATCTATTTTAAGTATTTTTTATTTTGATATTGAATATATACCTGGTCATCAAAATTCTATTCCAGATTTCCTTACTTGCGAATTTTTACAGGGTGGATAAAGGATGGCCACTCCTTTTATTTCCTACCATAAATTAAAAGTCATCTATTATAGAAAACTTGTTTACCAAACTGCTTACCGTATTGCTTGCCTTAAGATAGCTCACAAAACTACTCGTCGTACACAATTCATACAATTTCATCAAATGACCAGTCATCGCAATTTACTTGCTCATTATTCTAATTGTCTTCATTTCCATATGAACAAATTATATATCCTCAGTGGCTACTAATTCTGTTCACCTTATTTGCTTACAGATGTCAAGGCCTTCTAGTAAAGCCATTGTTTCAACTAGTAAATCCATTGTTGTTCCTCCTATTAACCTAGTCACCAGATATCATCCTATTGACACTATCAACCGTTGCCAAGTTCTTGGTAATATCCCTAAACCTAGTTATACATCCACTCTTGCTTCGGATTCATTCGCTTCTATGGACTCGCCTTTTTTCGCGCCTCGCCTTTCGAAAAGGGTTTGAAAAAAAGGCCTCACAGTTCGGACTCTCACGGTTCTGAATCTAGTCTCACAAGTGCAATGTGAAATTAATAAACACCAAAGAGTCCAAATCCGGCAAACCTTTTTGAAAAATCGATTTTAAATCAAATAATGTCAAAATTGGACTGGTTTTCCAGATGCAGAATCGTCACCTAAATATTTTGTTTTTTAGAAATTTAGGAAACCCTGACTCGTGCCAAAAGCCACGTGTCCGTCATCGCCAAAGTTGCCTCGACTCGGGAACTTGGGTACGAGAGAGGAAGGTCTTGAAATGAGCACCCCCGCTCGCCCGATCAAAGATTGGCTTCTACTAATCATAATATGATATTTTATAAACATTATGTGTTCTTATTCTGATTATTAGCTAACTTTACTATGTAATGCACATAAGCAAATATAGACTAGTCGTAAGACTTGGAACAAATTCAACTCATATTTGTTTTCGAAAATGGTTTGAAGTTGTCACCCTCAAGTGGGTTTAAAGATGCGGATTTGCCACCAAACACAGTGGTCTTAAAACATGATTTTGCCACAACAAAGTAGCCTTAAAACGCACATTTGTTGAACTGTTCCAATTCAAACAACAGGCCTTCATCCACATCATTCATGCAGTTATAGCAAGTAAGCACATAGCCTCATGGCAAGCATGCGAAACATGGAAATATGGCAATCACACTCGTGCAAGTATGCTAAAGTGCAAAAACTCACCAAGTACTCCGAGCTAAAACAAAACTAGTTAGAAAGATGCATGATCCTAACTATACGAAATGCCTAATC